ACTGACAGGACCCTGATCCTGCACTCGCCTTGGCTAGTGAGCAGATAGAATTAGTCGAGAAGTTCACGCATCTCGGTATGTGTAAGTACTGGAGGTGGCGTGAATAATGAGATCAATTCACGTATTGGGAAAATCAAAGCGGCTTGTGACAATCTGGGTCATCTTTGGCGCCTTCGTGTTGTTAGTCTGGCTGTAAAAGTTCGGATCTACAACGCTTCGGTGACAGAATTTTGTCTCTACGCTTGTGATACCTGACCTCTCAGAGTTGAGGATGTTGGATGATTTCTGTGCTTGATCATCGTTGTCTCCAAAGGATTGCTGACATCCAGTAGCATCACCATGTTAGTAGTGTAGAGGTTCGACATCGTGTTCAGGCACAGTGACGACAATTCAGTTGGTGTCACAATCTTAAAACATCAATTTCGACGGCTTGAACATGTTCTACGAATGTCACCCTAGAGAATTCCATATCGTGTATTATTTACCGACGTAAAGACCGGTTGAGAAAAGCGGAGAGGCGGACAGTGTATGACATGATGTTGTGGATCGAATGAAAGCTGTATAGAGCCGGCTTTTGTCGATCATTTACGACTCCCTGGTTGGGGTCCTGAAGGTGATACAACACACTGGCAGGAGACTTGGCCAGACATGGCTCAGAATAGAAGCCAGCGGCGGTGGTGGTATGATTTTCTTTCACTTTCTTCCTAAAAGTGAACGTACCTTCGTTAATTGAAAGCATTTTTTCTTGTTGTATTTTCCTTAACTGAATTGCCTCTCCCAATATTCTATCGTTTCCCTTAGTTAGTTGTACGTGAGCCATATAAGTTTGGAGAATTCATGCGGTACTCTGAATTTTTTAGTTCGATTTTCAGTAAAACTATTTAGTTGTATCTCAGTTATGTGATTGTATTCTCATTCTGTATACTGACCTTCACTCCTGGTTTAGCATTTGGGTCAGTACAGGTTGCTAATCGTATCCCATTCATAGAAATATATTTGTGATCATATAGGGACTTACTTTACGGTAGTCAGTTGTCTGGTACACTTATCAAACATAATATCGTATATGGACACCATTTCATGAAATTAGGGACTATAGATAGGTCTTATGGTAAACAATAATCTTGGCAAGGATCCTAAACAATTTTGAACGAAGAAAATTCCCAGAAATGATCTTTAAGAAATTAGGTTGGTAGGTATATAGTTTAGAAGATTATGTAGCCTTCAGATTGATTAGTCATAATGATCTTCAGTTTAATACTATGACTGTTAATCCAAGCCAGACAATAATTCTTATCAAAGACGTTTATTCACTACTTTTTAAAATGTAAGTAGTTTAAATCGTTTTGCAGTCTTGCTTGAAATGACCTTAATGAATACGTGGAAAGATTACGGATAAAAATGAAACGCCTAAATTATCTGTTTTTGACCTAATAATAAAACAACTAAATCTATGTTTGCATTGTTACAATCAACTCACGTGACATAATACATTTCTGTAAATGCAAGAAAATATAACTAAATATTCATTCATCATAAGATATGAAAAGGAAGAACCAACAGTTTATTCAATTTATATCTACTAAGGACAAAAACTCTCATCTATTTATCAGTCTTATAAAGACACAAAACCTGATTCAAGTCGATAACAAATTACTAATGGATTACTGATTTCAGTGTGAACAGAAGATTTGTATCACAAGATTTCATATTAAAGATTAGTAGAAATAGATCAACTTGTTTATTGAATAGCATTCATTGAATACTCAAGAAATATATGTTTTGAGTTACATATGTTGGACTCTTATAAATATGATCTTTTTAGAAGGTATTCATCAAAACCAAGAAGTTATTGGCTTATTTACTTAATTCATATAGAGGAAGCTAGGCTCATTTTATCGAGTTCATTTCCAGATCTTTTAGAAAAATGATAGATGTATATATGGTGGGGAATGTCTGTATCTCATGTGATACCTTCTAACAACTATACAAATTAGTCGATTTGTTTTTTCTTTAAACATATTCCGCAAGAACTTTAAACATGAACACACATATTTAAGATGAAAGGAAAAAGAGCAGTAACAACGAAATTTAAACAAATTGATGAACTGTTTGCTTTATACCTCTGTACCCATAAAGTATTTATTGTTTGACTTTTTTGTGATAATAAATACATTGTCTAGTTGAGGAAATCAAACTATCAAAGGATACAGAAATGGTATACCTATTGAAGTCATGTTTATTTGCTTCAGTTTACACTTATTTATTTGAAAACATAAATACTGGTACAAAGCGGCATCGAATGAAGATGTGCCACACAAATCACTTGATTTGTAAGTGGGCTGCGATACCGCCCGGGTGCCCAAACCAAAACAGGTGGTTTTCTTAGAGGACCACACCGCAAACCTTCGACCTAAAGGTCAGATCCATAAGGCAGTGGAGCAACGTCAAGAAATGCAGTTCCATAGTAACCAGTGACCAACAAGAGGTTCATACACCTTTTGTCACCTCAGGATACTGGAGCCCATGTACACCATTGATTTGGAATCAGGGTTTTCCAACTCCCCTAGGTGGGTCCTCTATATTCAGCTTATACGATCATATATTTTACCTTTAAAGATAAAAATATGTAAGTAATTACTCATATGTAGTTGTTTTATTTAAGTCCAATTAAATATAAAATGCTACTTAAAATATTAGTCTAAAAAAATTTAAAAAAGCAACAACTGAATGACTATGATTAAACCATACAGTCTTAGTAAACTATACACTAGAGAAAAATAGATTAACTGGACTTTTACTAATAACCCATAAATTGTCAATAAGAAATATCATCAATAAGGAAGGGATCATGAATTGAATTGTTAATGGTGATTAAGTTAACTCTTTATTCTTTAATATATATTGAACTTCTATCGATAGGTATAAACTCTACAATAAATATAGTCTATAACAGTGCTATACTGTATATAATTTATTAAATCCAGTCAGTCAGTCGTCCCAGAGAATTCCTCGTCGAGCATTATTTGCCAACACTCGGACCGGTTGAAAAAAGAGTAGAGGTGGTCAGTGTATGACATGGTGTCGTGGTATGAAAGGAAGCTGCAAAGGGCTGGCTCCTGTTGGTCCTTCTCGACTCCCTGGTTGGGGGACCGAGAGATGGTGTAACACAGTGGCTAGATACGCTATCAGATATGCCACAAAATAGAAGCCAGTAGAGATCCTACTGTAACCTTCTTTTACTTTCTTCATAACAAGTGATTTTAACTTCCTTGACCGAAATTCTTTCTGGTCGTACTTTTCCGTTTCCCCCACTATTATTATCACACTACCATACACTAATCTGTGGTCGTTATTGTTCTCTTTTTTTCTTTCTTCTCTCTTATACGCACCTTATGTTCTTTTTTTCTTCCCATTCTCATTGCTATTGTGTGGCGCATACATATCTGGTGCCTCCTTGTACTAAATAAAAAATATAATATAAATAGTCAGAAACAACGTAGAACTTCGTATGTACGTACATCAGTTCGGGTTTCCATACCACATTAGCACAGAGACGTAATTGTCGATTCAAATCACATAGTGGTAGAGATAGTAAAAGTATAAGCAGTAATAGGAAAGATTAGGGTTTGAAAATGTTATTCAAGGATTATTATCCTGTGAAACAGATTTGTAAAGAGAAAAAATGAGGGACATGAAGAATTCATAAGATTAGAATTTGGGAGAACATAAAGAGTGGATGCACCTGCGCCACTGCAAACGATTTTGAGTCTGTAATGTCGGTTGACATGTTAAGCCCATATATCTTATTCTAGCTTTCGGACAGGCCAATCTATTCATTCTACTTGAGTCACATTCTGACCTTGTTGATTATGCGCTTATCAATCTTGACTGTTGTTATATGAGCGTATATATGTGTGTACATTTCTTATCTTAATCACCACATCTGCAACTTATTTTTGTGCGACTATAAATACTGATGAACGCTTGACTAAATGGAGTTGGCTTACCCTTCATCTCCACTGCGCGTTGTTTCGCTTCATATACAAAATATATGTATTCAAAAGTCCATTCTCGTTATTTGACTTATTTAATTCTGTTATTGACTAACGCGATTTAAGTCGATGATTATATACGAAGATAGGCGACATATATATTTCGACAACGATTATTCATACGATCAAATTGGAGTCAGATCTTGGGCCACTAAAGTGGAGAGCCCGTCAACAAACATCGTCCGATCTAAATGACGACAAAATAAAGGGCCCCACTAAAAGTCATGTCACTCAAGATCCCTAATCATCGGTTGCTGTCGTCTCGCGGATTCCAACCAAGTAGTCTACACCTACCAACATGGCTCAGTTCACTTGGCAATGACTTCATGGATTTGTGTCATGTTTGGGTTCGGCCACCCCTAGCTTTCTTTCAATCTACTCCTACACCATAAAACATCGCATTATATTTTATCATACAACTAATAAGATAAATACCAAACAAAACTAGTATCATAGTTATTATTTAAAGATCAAGATCTTGCACATATAATTCAATTCTATAATTGATCAGTTTTATCATTTTTTTCAAATATATAATTGAAATGGAATATACTTTCATTATACAAGTAAGGAACTTTGTTTACAACAATACATATAATACTATATGATGAATTATAACAAATACAATATCTATGTCATATCGATTAAGAAGAAAAGAACAAAAATCGAATAGATATATTACTATACGAAATATACAACGCAATATTAAATACATAAAAATTAAACAAAAAAGATGTAAACACAATATTTACAAATAAATATATTTTAATAGTTGAAATCATGAGTCAATTGAAGCTACACGAACATGAAAAACCTGGAAGCACTGGTGGTCTAGCTTCAATTGACTCAACTATTGAAATTTCTTGAATCTCCACAAAACCCTTTCTGATATATATATATATATATATATATATATATATATATAGAGAGAGAGAGAGAGAGAGAGAGAGAGAGAGACGTTGTCTTTCTATTACAATAAAGTGATAATCAACCTTTACCCGTTGTATTCCTATTTATTTTTCTTGCTGACATTGAAGAAGTTGAAAACTCAAAGACACATTATTCCAAAGTAAAATATGATTTGTAATTTGTATTTCTATATGTTTACATGTGCGTATAGAGATAATGGTTACAAAATTTAAAAAAAAAGCAACTGCCACGTAAAACTGAATTGTTATATAGATAGAGAGGAAGTTACAACTAGCATAACAACAACTAATTAATCACTATCTTGGTTATCATCATCATCATCACCATTGTTATTGTCAAAACACTTATTATACATAGATTTATTGTCATATAGTTTTGTAGTAATACTTGATAAATTACTACATGTAGACTTTTTCTTCTTATTCATATCTGGTGGAACTGTTAAATCACCAGAATATTTAATCACTTTACCAATAGCTAAACGCCATTCAAGCATAGCAGTAGAGAATTCATCATGACCACCAAGTTCATCAAATCCAATAATACGATCGCATACTTTTTCATTTTTAACAAGAATTAAAGTTGGTATCACTTGAATATTTAATCGTTTTGTTAAAAATGGTGCTTTCTCTGCATTTATCTTTACCATTCTACATTCAATATGTTTTGAAGCTAATAAACTTAAATGTTTATCTAAAATTTTACATCGAAATGTTGAATCACGATAAAAATGACAAACAAGACCAAATGATGATGTTTTACAAGTAGTAAAAAAATCTTTTTCACTTGATAATTCAGAATAAACACCATGTCCTAAAGCTAACCATTCAGAATGTTGTTTTGATTCTTCTTTCATTTGCTTAATTCGAAGTTTACGAATAGCTTCTAAATCATCATCATTTAAATTATCCAAACGATTAATTTGTTCATCTAATGTATCTTCTAATATTTGAGCTGTTTTTATTAAATGAGATTCAATTAACTTTTCATGATTAGTTGTTGGTATTTGTTTCTGTTTGGATGTTTCACTCATACTATCAAACTAAAATTGGAATTGGAAATTATATGAAAATTAAACTTTTAAAGTCAGAATAGTATTACTGAAGCGGATTAAATAGATAGTGAAGTATGAAATTAAAACATTAAATCTAACTCGTAAAACTGATAATAGCAAGTTAGTTTTAAAATAGTACGCTGAAGATACGAGATATTACTTAAGAATTAGAAGACTATTCACCCATAAAATATAATCTAAATGATTATGTTGGATAGGATGCTAGAACTAAAAAATGAGAATATGATATCGTTTCCACTGAAGATATTTAGAAAGTAAATAACACTGGAACAGATGCATTCATTTTTTGTCTTCTTTTAATATGCGAGTTCCAAAATCTTATACCTTTTTACTTTTTATATACCCAATCTTTTACACTACTAGTGATACTATTACCACTACTACTACTACTACTCTGGGATTTGAAATAATTTTATCTCGCTTGTGGTATGGAAACTTGAATCAATGTACCCAAGTCAGATTCTATGTTTTGTACGACTGACTGACCCAGTATTTTGGATGAGTAATTAAAGATTATTATCATTATTATTCAAGCACACAAACATAGGTACAAAGAGGCACCAAACAGATATATACCACATAAATCACTCGATTTTTTACTGATTGAATAATGTAAAGTTAATTTGGGTTAATTTTATTACCATTAAATGTGTAGAATTAAAATACCATAATTGTTTACCAACATGTTGGATAACTAAATTAATCTCAGTGACCTAATTGAAGCCTAAATTTATTGATTAAATGATGAATTTTTTAATTTCTTTCAACTAATTCATATGTGATTACTCTGGTATTTTTTGTAATTGGAAAATCCTTTCAAACTTCTAGATCATTTGATGATATTTAAAAGCATGGTTTAGTCTAATAGTCAAAATGTTTTAATTCAATCCGTCTACGATGAGCTTTTTTATTTATTCGTACATTAATTGAAATTCGTTGCATTTAAAGGACATGAATGACACTAAATACTAGTAGCTGCACAATGAATTTAAGCAAATACATATAAAAATTTAATTGGGCTCTTGTGTTATCAAAAAGTTAATGAACACATGTTACACTTGAATTTGAGCGAAATAGAGATGAGTCGATAAATGGAGAAATAAATACATAACTGTGCGGAATATATATGAATGGTACACAAGTCAACAGAAAAATGAAGGCTACGTTCAATTTAATTTGGACTAGTGTAGTATGAGAACAGTGGTAACACTGTAGAATCGGCCAGTAGAGGGTACGGAATGATGTAGATGGTCTGGAAAGAAATCTACACTCGTGCAAATTACATCAGTACGATTCTTAAAGTTTCTATGCTACCGGTGTAGTGAAGGAGAACACACAAAATTACAGAGATACTTGGTAAAATAGGAAAAGCATATAGTAAATCGTTAATTTGCAAAATATTAATCCACCATATCAAACCAAATTGTTCCTGTTGCAAACATCAATCCATTGTCTCACATTTCGTTGTTCATGCGTTTTCTTGCTAATTGCATCGTGTTTCCGCTCTTCCTTTCTTGATCCCCCTCCCATCTTCAGCTGCCAGACATTACGTTTTTAACTCGCGTTATATGTTACTTATGTCAATATAAGTAGCACGCACCACACTCGTCCCCCCTTTTAATAAGTTGTCGTCGTGGTCTTTCTGATCGCCGTACCGCTGTCTTCTTTGGTGCTTTTCGTGACTCCCACACATGATGATCTTGGAACCATCTCTGTAGTTGACTAGCATTTACGCGCTTCTGCTTGTCTTCTCTCCGGATCGTGTAAACCGAGCCGCGTCTCCCGGTGATAACGTACGGTCCTTTCCACTTTGGGATCAGCTTTCCCGACCCTGCTCCTCCTGCTAAGCTACTTTTTCGTTCTCTACACTTTACTAGGTCCCCCACTACAAAAGGTTTCCACGTTCTCCTCTGTTGTTCCGCCTTTTTTGTTTGATATTTGTTTCTTTTCCACGTTCTTTATTGCCTCCCTTCTCTCTTTTCTTAACCTTGTTGTCGTCCACTTTTGTTGTTGTGGCCAGGTCTTATTATGCATTGAAAGTCGTGGTTGTCTGCCATACATGAGCAAGAAAGGTGACTTCTTGTTTGTTCTTTGTATAGAGGAGCGATGCGCCAGCAAAATCAATGGTAACTCTTTCTCCCAATTTCCTCCTTTAGATGCTAACCATTCCTTTAACGTCCGGTTGTTTCTCTCTGTAAGCCCGTTTGTCTGAGGATGATACGGTGTAGTTCGTATCCTCTTGATGCCAAACTGCTTTAGACAGGCTTTAAACTCGTCACTTTCAAAACAGGGACCCTGGTCAGTTAATATCATCTTCGGTATTCCGTGACACGCTACAATATGCCGGATCACTACTTCGGTCACTATTCTTGCCCGCTGGTCTGCAATGGGTATGGCATCTACCCAACGTGTAGCATGTCCCGTCATCACTAGCAGGTACTGGTTACCGCTCGCCGTCTGTGGAAACGGTCCCATCACATCCACCGACCATAGATCACCGACTGCAGTTACTGGAATTGACTGTAGTGGCGGTTGTGTGTATCGATTGCTTTTCATTAGTTGACACTGCTGGCAAGTTAACACGTATTCAGCCACATCGTCTCTCATGCCTGGCCAGTATGCACTTTGTCGTAGTAAATCCATCGTTCTTGCGATGCCTGTATGTGATACCTGGTGACACTCGTGTATCATTTTACGCCGCCAGCCTTTCGGGATCACAGCCACCCAATTCTCGTCATCGTCCTGCCAGGTCAGGACTCCATATGCGTTCACTCCCAGTCGTTCTTTTTGCCGAAGCAGCGTTATTACCTCCTTGTCCATTGTTCGTTTGTCTACGTCTGCTCCCTCTTTTATCACTCTGATTACCTCTCGAAGGTTAGGGTCAGCTTTCTGCTGCCGGACGAGTTCTAATGGGTCTCCCTCTAAACTATTCACCGCGTATGCTGTTAGTGGAAGGTCGGCTTCCATGTCTGGTCTTGACAAGTAATTTGCCATTACGTTTTCCTTTCCTGGGACATGGCCGATACAGAATTCGTACTCTTGCAGACGTATCATCCATCGCGCCAACTTCCCTCGGGGGTCTCTTGCTGTTTCCAACCACTGCAGGGGTTTATGGTCAGTCTCAATGTGAAATCGTCTACCTAAAAGGTACAGTCTCCATTTTTTTACTGCCCACACGATTGCTAACCACTCCTTTTCGATCGTTGAAAACTTCTGTTCAGTGGGTGTGAGAATGTGACTCGCGTATTCCACCACTCTATCAGCCTGACTCAATACAGCACCTATACCATGATCACTTGCGTCTGTAGCCACTGTAAACAGTTTTCCGGGTTCGGGCAGTCTGAGCGTCATCTGACGATCGTCTAGCATGTTTTTGATCCGGTTGAACGTTTGTTCGGCGGTCTTAGTCCACGTAAACTTGGTGTTGCTCAACAACTTATATAGGGGTGCTGCTATTTCGTTGAAATTCTTAACAAACCGACCGTAAAACGCCGCTCCTCCCAGGAACTGTCTCAACTGCCTTTTCGAATTAGGTGCTGCAATATTTTTTATGGTAAGGATTTTATCCGGCAATGGTTTTATTTCTCCATTTCCCACTTTATGTCCCAACAACGTGACGCTGTTTCTCGCTATCTGCAACTTGTCCTTATTAATTCGAAGTTCAAATTCGTCAATTCGCTTTAAGACCGCTTCCATATGCTTGACGTGATCTGTTTCTGTCTAACTGTACACAACTACATCGTCGCCATATACCTCGGCATTATCTAGATTCTTGAGCAGTAGTGTCATTAATCTTCTGAACGTAAATGGTGCACCCGCCAACCCGAACGGCATTCGTTTAAATTGATACTGTTTATCACGTACAGTAAACGCTGTCTTGCTTCGATCGCTGTTTTATAGGCAGTTGTCAATAACCTGACCGTAAATCCAGCACTGTAAACACCGTGGCATTCTGTAGCCGATCTAATGTTTCCACCACTGTTGGCATTGCACAAAGTTTCAGGTCTGTTATATTATTCAACTCTCTGAAGTCGACACAAAATCTATACTTTCCATTTGGTTTCTTTACCAAGAGTACCGGTGAGCTATATGGGCTGCCTGCTTCCTCAATTATACCTTCTTTCAACATTTCCTGGACCTGATGATTTACTTCAGCCTCTAAGTGCACCGGGACACGTGTTGCAAATATATTTACTCGATCGTTCTTTATCGGGATTTCGTGCTTTACTTTGTCACAAAATCCATACGGCTCCCCATCTCCAGTAAACAGTTTTGCATACTTTGTGCATAACTCGTTAGTGTTTGGTTTCTTCGACGAGACGTCCGCTGCCACTCTTATTTCAGCCACTTCGCTACTTTCGTGTATTGGCAATGAACCATACTTTGTGACCACCTTACCGCTTCTTAAGTCAACTATCGCTTTTACTTCTCTTAGGAAATCTGCTCCTAATATCAGTCTCGATAAGCTTGTGGTTACCACGAACGGAAAATTTATCTCAGCATCTCCAACTTTTACGATACTGTTAGATACCCCCAACACCTCTAAAATATGGCCTCCTATAGTGTGGACAGCTAATGTACACGGCTTGAGTCTCTTACATTGCTCTTTGTCTATTAACGATACTGCTGCACCTGTATCGATCAGACAAACTAAATCTCGTTTGTTTATGTTCAATCTCGTATAAACTGCCCCTCTATCTACTAACGCAACAACCCCCAGATTCCTAGGATAGAAAGAACACACGTTATAACGTCTAAAATATCTGAGTCTTCGTCTTGTTGGACAGTTTATCTTCCAATGTCCTGTCCCTCCACAAGCGTAACATTTATCGTTCCTTTTATGGTTTACTCGTATTGCTGCAATCTCATACTCCAGCTCCTCAATCTTCTTTTAGACATTATTTATCTCCTGCTTTTCGCACCCGACTGGAGCTACTGCTCGTGTCATCAGCTGACGAGTCACCTTCGCCAGTTCACTGATATCCATCGGTTGCGCTGCGTTCACTAGTTTCAGCTGTTGGGAGACGGTGGCAGGCATACTCTCGATAAACTGCGACGCCAACAACTGTGCCTCCGACTCCTCATCCAGATTCGGCAGCGCACAGCGTAACAATATAAGTAACACGCACCACACGGGGTTTTTAGGATAGATAAGGTCAATTTGAAAAACTTAATCTCTATTTCATTAAACATTAACAAACTCAACTAATCAAAGTTCCCACGCGGCATTAGTAAAATAGGGGAACCAAACAGAAAGGAGTAAATATAGTCAGGGCGAAATAAGAAGGACGAAGTTTGATCTCAATACAAACTAAAGAAAAACAGGAAACAAAATAAATGAATAAATTAACTGAGGTGGGGCAGAAATATAAGGTCAAGGATAAATGCCAGTTAATAAATATTCTTTAGCTCGTCCACTCTTTCCTCTTAATCTTCCTTCCACTCCTCCTCTCCAAAAAACGTTGTGGAACAGTGGTTTAATGGTTAGGGTGATCGACCTTCAGCCACTAAGTCCCAGATTTGAATCCCACTGCACCTACTGCAGCTTTGCCAAGCGGCTCACAGCCAAGTACTATGTGAACAAGTTTATTGAGTTTTATTTTATTTTCTTAGTAGTAGGAATCTCAGACTAATTTGAGATATGATAGCGAAGGACAACACTTATAATCCAACAAGAATATGGAAATTCTCCTAATTTGCAGTCTAACATTGTAATATTTCAATGTTTAGTAGTAAGTCATGAAACCTTTGTCACCAATTCTGTGTAAATCCATGTCCATCCCAACTGTTAATTACAAGGTCCTTATTCCACTCTTACGTACGTTAAAGTAGCCGCTTATCATGCTTAATATGTAACGAAAGACAGAATCTAACAAATACCACTTTCGGAAGTGTCAAAAACCGTTCTACATTTCTGATGTACAGTATGATAAGAGGTTATCAGTATCTGTTAACTGAATGATCATACATAACCCGTGGCTGTACAGAGATTCCTCAACATTAAATGATGGATTGTTATCCAGTAAATAAAGCATTTAAGATCCATAAATGTACAGAACTCTATGACTGTGGTAAGCATAATCATTCACTACTTTTCAAAATATTCACCTGAAGCAGCCAAAGTTAAGATGACAGTGAGTAGTGTGTGAGGATAACTTTTTAAAGGCTTTCAAACACAGACTTCGAATACACATCATACGATATGGGAGTAGATATTCATTCAGACTGTTCAGCATAGAAATATATAAATAAAGAGTTAGACCAACACCGTTTGTAACAAGCAAATAAATAGACAAAGATATCTTAAGGAAAATGTCAAGATGCTGTCACATATATCATTACAATCACAACAGTATCATGACAGTTCACCTCAACTTAAGGTTAACGAACTGCAGTTTGAATTTCTTCTAGAAAAGAACAAGCACGTAACTTTAGGAAACATCCAGAGAAACCATCAATTTAGATATTTTGTAGGCTTGTATTCATAATCTCTTCATTTCAGAACGAAAACGTTGAAGAGATATGACAGTCCCAAATCTCCACTGAATTCGATGAGCAACTTTTCCATTGAACCGACAATTGAGACACTACGAAAAGCTCAGAACCAACAAGCAAACTGTTATAAACGGGTTTCCTATTTACATACTAACCCGGTGTAAGATAAAAGCTGATTAGTATTGTATTCTTAGCTAATATTACTTCGGAATTCGCTGAACTGACAACTAAGGAAAGTGAGACAGATTATCAAATACCCTTTGCTACAGGAATTATTTTCACAATCTTTGAGATAGAATTCACAAACAGCTAAGCCAAAAGAAGTTTCTGTATTTTACCAAGCACTTCGCTAGACAAGTTCAACATTTTTAACTGGAGTATCATGATTTATACACATATGTAGACTTTTGAACAATGTATAGTTATGTACGTGTAATAACATCATCAAATCTGGCAATATAACACCCAAAAAAAGAATTGATTGAGCGTTATTAAAATAATTAATTAGTCACCCGATTCCACTCAATGAGAACGGCTGCAGTTAAAAAGCAGAACAAATCCATAGTTATCAATACAAATCCATGTATATATTTTACTTCTAGGAGTTGATACCCTATAATTAAACGAGGCATATATATGCAACAAGTTCTTAAGGTGGGACTTCGGTTTAGGGAAGATCTTAAGTGATATCATAATCGATCTCTTGCATCACTTAAATATGATCTAATCCGACTTAAGACGTTGAATTTAAACACATATTATGTAAAGTGGAAAGAAACGTCAAACAAAAAAACTAAGCATACCATGGCAAGTCTAAAAAACCCGCGTTTCCGGTATCTAGGATATTTGATAAAAATTTATTTCTATCGAATATATAGTTTAAGCCTAACCTGATCAGACGACTGTATATGCTATGTTATTTGAGTGATGATAAGTTATTTTAATTTGACTCTACTGCAACTTTATCGCGTGAAAGTAACTTCTGCGGTATTATTAGCTGCTCTGTACACTATAGCAGCTGTTTGGGTATTATTTAGTCCAGACACAACAGTAATAAACTCACTGCTCCCCAACAGGTTATGAAACGTCAGCCTTCGCTGATTAATTTTTTCTGTGTAGCAGTAAATAAACCCGTCAAATAAGTAGTCCTGTAAGTCTTCTATATTGATGCTAATCTCAGTTTTACTGGACACACCCTAGCTGAAGGCTCTCGGTCACACATCTGCACCAGGTCACGAGTAGGTACGTCATTCCACGCATCCTTTGCAACCCCTAGTCTGATTAGATCAAGTGCTTCTCGGCATATCGAAATCCTTCGGACTCTATCACTTCCTAATTCCGATTTGACTATGCGGTTATCCTGCTATTATAAAGAAGTTACGTATGAACGCGTTGTCAAACTTTGAATATCTGAGATATCTCTAGATGTGACGTGTACTATTACATTCGTATCTAGATATATATTACTCTTCCAGCCGTTATTCTTCTTTACCTTGCGTATCTTTACAATATCGTACTCTGCAACCGGCATCACCCGGCTATGTTCTGTCTAATGCATCTTCAACTTGATCTTTTTGAAAAATTAAGTGGATTTATCACCAATAATCACCATCGGTGTTCTACACTTCTTTGTTTAAAATAGGCGAATTCTCTGATCATCAATGTCTATGGTAATAAAAACTTTAGGACTATTTGCATATAGTGAGGGAAGCTAGGAGATGTTAACCTATCGTTCGTCAATGATCGGCTAAAAAATGATGAGCATCTATATTTTGTCCGATATGTGTGAAATAAAAGATACTATATGTTGTAGATTCCGTGCGATGTAGTCCTCTGGATACTTAAGTAAGCAATAACTGGTGCCCAAGCATTTGAATTTCAAGTGGAATACTTCATGATTCACGTCATCCCACATTTTACGGGAAGCCAATAAATCTTATTCTCGTGTGTGGAATGTATTTCATTGACAATCCCCGTTTATTTCACTATATGAACAAGTTAATATTGGAGGATCTATGGATAAGAAATCATTATTAAGGTTGTAGAACTATGGTCTACTATTATATTAGTACTGCTCTAATAATAGACCTAATCCTAAACTTGTCGATTTGTCATGATATAACTGCCTAATCTATAAGATCTTACGTGGAAGTCACACCATCGACTACACCAACTCACTGTATCGTATCAATTACCAATACATGATGTAGAACAATGTTAGGCTAGAGAAAGAACAATATATTTAATATGAATAGAAGATATAAAGTAACACTGAGATGGACCACGCCTGCATGGACGAGCCATGCCATCCGATCAAACCCAGTCCATTCAATTCATTGTTCGCTCCTTCTCCATTGTTAGGTATTTCTCCGCGTTAAATATTGAATATCTATTTTCTGAGTAGTCTCGTGTTCACAGCTTTGTGGATTGTGTGGCTATTGTCCAATGCCACTACACTACTCTCCCACCAGAATCAACGTGATGTTGGTTCGATACCAAATTGGATGAGATCGTCGCGCGCCGGAGGTTACCAAGGATAATAAGGATCCTCCGGGTATTGATAAGCTGAAAGATAAATAAAAAAAGACGGCAGCATCTGGTCGGGAAATACATGTAATAATCTTAAAATATCTGCTTTCATGATTAACACGCTTAAAATGAAATTTTGGTTGAAGATTATTTGAACTATAAAAAATGGGATTACAATAATAATAATAATAATAATAATAAAACGATGCGTGTTAATAACTTAACTTATAGGCAGTAATTATTTTGTGTTTAGAAATATTAAAGTGATGAATATTGTAGAAATGTTAATATTGGTATAAGTTTTGGTTTAAATCATGAAATCAGATAACGATTATGCCAGTAAGTTGTCCATATGTGTTGAATTCCAATTGCATCTGTATTAGTAGGCTAACTGAAGGAACAAAAGTATACCGTGGAGAAGAATTCCAACTAGTGTTCCAGTTAGTTTGATACGCTTTATTTAGTTACGGGGAGATTTTCTCAACCTCATTTTTACTTGACCGTGATAGAATTTAGTAATACTACTAATACACATGAATGGTTATCAAAATAAAATTTAAATACATGAGTGGTATTTATACGAATTTTGGACAGATAGCTAGGAAAAATCGTTAAACATGAGTGTATTCGTAAGAGACATGCTCTAGACTCAATGTTCTGATCTGTGGCAGACTATTTATTTATATTTATACTTGCCGGCTGATTGGGCATACAAGTTAGTTGCAAGTATGCAGTTTATCATAAGGCGGAATACGATTTAATTGAGATATAGTGGTTATAAGTTATTAAAATCAGTTAGGCCTGTGTCATATTACGAAGTGATGTGGTGTTGCAAGATGTATTTAGCTAAATACGTTTTTACAAGATGATTAATAGTGAGTGATGCTCATGTGATTATCAGAGAGAACATAAGTTGTAACCAAGGGGAGTACACTCCCAACTCATGTCTATGATAATGGCTTGAACCTTAGTCAGTGTTGGGGTAAATTCGACATTGATGTTTTCAGTTTGCAGGAGATTTGCTCGACTGCTTATACTGATTATTTGCATGCATGATTGTGTCGCTAAACCATCAATTAGACTGACAAGGTTTTGAGATATTTACTGAATGAGCAAATGAGAGAGAAACATACTGTAATCATCTGTGATGGATGAAGATACCAAGAAAACAACACCATTTAATGGTAATTATAAGTCAATTTGTTGACCGATTACGTTAATAGTTTCATTAATTTTATCAGTCATATTACGTGATTGTCAAGTTATGACAATGCTTTATGACGATATCCTGAAACTATTAAATTTAACTAGTTATAGTGTTGATTGAAGATTAGTCAGTGGAAAAATAGGTATTGTTGCTTTAGGTGATTCGAGATTATCAGAAATTTGTAACGTTGAAGAATCCGAGACGCCTAATTTAATTATAAATTTCAATTTAGAAATATTCGTTTAGTGTTAATTCTAGTAGGCTACGGAGTTTTGATTTTACACGTTTGTTTAGCCAACAGCTACCTAGGAATTTAGTTATTTTACTAGTGCAGTTGATAGTACCTAAATTTGTAATCTTATTATCTAAAATATGTTTGCATTTTAGGCTGCTAATATGATAAACCAATCCATAAACCCAAATACGATTAGCAACAACGACTATGATGGGTTTATTGATAAATGTTAAAAGCGATTCAGATGATTTCTAAATTCAAAAGATATGAAGATATAGTGCAACGTATGTGCGGGCCAGGTTAACAAGCAGGTTGTTGACGTATATGACAATTTAAAAATAATGAACATGACCAGATAAATAAATTCCAAGTTAAGACTGCTTGTGAAACTTCAGGCAGGAATATGATGCGTTATAAACATTCCATAAGAAGTTACTGCATTTAACCTAGGGACACTTACAAATATATGGCAAAAGCAACTGGAAAACATATACATGTTAAGTACAAAAAATCATAAAATAAAATAGTTGAACTTGCCTGGATTATTTTTGAAAATTAGATTATTCAGTGGACGACATATATAACGCCATTCGTGAGTAGTATTGATCCAAAAGCATTCAGAATAAAACATGCAGTATGGCAATTAATTCCAGGGTGCTTGATGCTGTTGAGGTTTTTGACACTCGCTCGGATCAGAACAATCGAATGAATCCAGATAATTGTATGGTTGTCATTGAACGAACCATCTAAAAATGATTGCAGAAAACTTATGGCTGAAACTCACCGTATGGTTTTGGAGTAGTCATCCTCGTTGTTTGGCAATGGAACTCGAGAATATGAAATTAGGCAGGCAGTGGTCGGAAGAAAAGATATTACAGGATAGTGCATCGTTTAAAACAGGATGAGGTGTTAAGTGAAGGAACACTGAGAATTAGATCCAGAGAACTATTTAGTCCTTGATCGCATTGTTAGTCAATGTATATTTACGCTATTTACAGGTCATATTTGCTAGAGCTTGATGTTTAGACAAGACTATGTCGCTGAAGCATGTAAATGCTATTACAGCTTGTTAACAAACCATCAAAGCTAATTAGTTAATATAGACGACCAGTTTTTATTATCGATTGAGCTAGTTTGTCATGAGGACTAATCAATATAACATTACAATGATGCATGTGAGCATTAATCAGAGGACTATTAGAATACAGGGTTAACATAAATATAAAATCGATCGAGAAAGTTGAAGTGGAAATAAGGATTAATAATAATAGGTTGCGTTTCTTTAGTTGGGCTCACCAATGTAGAACTATGGTCTACTATTATATTAGTACTGCTCTAATAATAGACCTAATCCTAAACTTGTCGATTTGTCATGATATAACTGCCTAATCTATAAGATCTTACGTGGAAGTCACACCATCGACTACACCAACTCACTGTATCGTATCAATTACCAATACATGATGTAGAACAATGTTAGGCTAGAGAAAGAACAATATATTTAATATGAATAGAAGATATAAAGTAACACTGAGATGGACCACGCCTGCATGGACGAGCCATGCCATCCGATCAAACCCAGTCCATTCAATTCATTGTTCGCTCCTTCTCCATTGTTAGGTATTTCTCCGCGTTAAATATTGAATATCTATTTTCTGAGTAGTCTCGTGTTCACAGCTTTGTGGATTGTGTGGCTATTGTCCAATGCCACTACAAGGTCACTCAGGATACCGTTTTACCAAACATCTCAATAGCCCGTATAATTGCAGGGAGAAGCGAAATGGATATGCCGTTTCAGACTTTGGTATTGTTAATCACTTCGTATCTTCGTATAACACAAGAAGCAAGTTCACCCTCTCAGTG